CACCCCCCCCCCCCCCCAAAAAAAAAAAAATATATATATATATATATATATAAAAAAGGGGGAATCTGGATAGCAACTCTAAATCAAAAGAAATTTTCCCTTCAGTGCAAAAGAAATTTTAATTAGTGAAAAGAAAAGAATATTTAATGAGTTTCCCTTTAAATATATTATTCCCCAAACACTTTTGCAATTGTGATGGGAGGTGAAACATTGAAATTGAACTCTTACTCAACTAAAGGCTCCATCAAAACTAACAATTCTACACATGCAAGTCAAACTCCCCACCACAATCTTAAGTAAGCCTCCATCCCGAATAAGTTCAGATCAGGTGATATCGGCTAAACTAAACAGAATTGAAAAAAAGATATTTTTCAAAAAACATGAAGACTTCACCAACCTTGTCCTTGAGTACCAAGTCATCCATACTTGCAGATTTTGTCTCTGGCCCATTCAGAAATGTTAAGTAACCAAGAGAAGAATGGTCAACAGCACTGGAAGTCCTGGAGCTTATTTTGTCATCTGTGAAAATGCTTTTCTTGTTGGAATCGTAGACTGAAGGGTCATCACTGCTTAGTTGTGAAGCTTCAGGATGTTCTGATACACTATCCAAAGCACTTGCCTCAGAATTTAAGAACTTGGAGCCCAGATTCAACACATCATCAGATCTTTCAGTGAAATCAGAAGATGAAAACCAGCACAAGTCATCTTCATTGCTCAGACTCCCCAACCCAAATGTTGAATCACAACTTCTGCAAGATAAACCTATAGATATCATGCAAGAGTACACGTGTCTGTGTGTGCAAATACATACAGATGTATACATCAACTCTTATGCATATTTACATGCTCGTGTGTGTGCACATGTCTTTGTACTCAAATAGATCATACAAAACTGTATCACTCATAAAATGAATATATTTAATTATAGAAATTGCAAACAATTCCACCAGTAGTGTGAATTTTCAAAAGTAGAGATGACGATGATATAGAAGGGGAAGGGTTGGACTACCTAAACATCCTATCAACATCATCAAAATTCCCTATATCATCAGGCCACCCGTAATATAAGGGATCACTGCTTTCTTTGTCTTCACGGTCATTATCAAAGAAGCTGAGATCATTGTCTGTCTTTGAAATGTGACTGAGTGGATAACTATACAGGTTATTATCAACTGCAGAACACTTTTCATCTGATGTAGGATCACTGGCACAGAACTCACCGCCAACTGAATCAATATTCCCATTTTTTAAACAATGACTGGACATGCTTGTTTCTTCAGATCTTATTGTTATAAAGTCCTTGACTGCAACACTATCTCGTGAGGTAGGAAACACACCATCAGGTGTGTTAGACCACGAATCCTTTTCTAACATTGTATCCTTCTTTACCAGAGTAGGTAAGCTAGCTTCCTCCTCTTCCTGAGTGCTATAGGTAAGTGAATCATCTTCATTATTCGCAACATTAATTATCTTACTTTCAGGTTTCTTTTGCTTGACGCCCTGAGCTACAAAGTGATCTCCGTATTCATGACCAGGATGAGGTACTATGTGATCATCTCTCACACTGAATTCATCCCACAGATTATCTTCAAGCTGCCATAGATTATTAGAAACACACTGTAGCCATCAGTATCTTCATGAGAAACACGATAAAAACACATAGAAAATAGAAGTTGATAATTTGGGATGAGACAAGAACAAAAACTGAAGATTGCACTGCATTCAATTATTTATTGGCAAGAGAAGACATGCATATTATCAGGAGCATTATCAGACGTGCATATCTTCATGAGAAACACGATAAAAACACATAGAAAATAGAAGTTGATAATTTGGGATGAGACAAGAACAAAAACTGAAGATTGCACTGCATTCAATTATTTATTGGCAAGAGAAGACGTGCTTATTATCAGGAGTATTGACCCAATAAAAAGTGAGTGAGATGATTGGTCTTGATCCCAATATGAGACCTTCTTCACAAAATTAATGGAACTTAGAAACTCTACGGTAAGGATAGTATGATTGCTGCAAATAAATTTAAACCCGCCAAAATAAATAAATAGCTATCAGTGGTTAAAAAGGGTATGTTTTCACTCAATATTTCAGGCCAAAAAAAAGTCCCAAGAAAGCCAGAAAGGCTGTGATTCTGAGTACGTTAATAGATTACCAAATGCAGACAAATCCGTCCTAACCAATTGTTCTAAAACTGAATAGTTGAATATTTTTTCTGTTTCGCATAATGGGCTTAACCTGAAACAACATACAAGAATGATCAAATACCACAAACACACATAAAGGCATCACAAAACTATACTATTTGCAAAAACAATTAACCTCAAAAGAATCCCTACCTCATACATGCACAAAAATGACATTCCTCCACAATCACCTACCCACCATTGAAGCCACACACAATTTCATTATATGATGTCATGTTCTTCGTTGAAAGTTAATGCCCCCTCCAAAAAAGAAAAGAAAAACTAACAGTCAATTTCTTGTATTCGAGTCAGAAGAGAACTAGATTCTTCACGCATCTTTTTCAAACAAGAACTCAACAAATTAGAATCAAATACTTACAGAAATAGCATTAACCTAACCAGTTTGTGGCAGAGAATTGATCAGGGATTAGTCTTGCTTTACTGGTTACTCAACTAAACGCAAATCTTTTCTTTCTGAATC